GAGACAGCGACCGACATCGCGGCGGCGCTCGTCAGCCTTTTGGGCAGCACGGACGAGGCGCTTGTCGTGGCGGACGGCGCGCAGATGAACTCAAGTGGCGAGCTCACCATGCTCCAGTAGTGCGCTGGTAGTGCGCTAGCCTTCTTTGTTTGCAAAATCATTTTTCTGGTGTACATTTCTGGTGCCTCTCCCGTTCGCTACACACTCGATTCGGGCAATGCAAATCTCCACGAGCAGCCCAGTCAGCCAGTGTTGGCAAAATTATAACTAGATAGACTCACTTACCATTGTTGGCGTCAAAGACCCTGTGATCAACTTTCGTCTTGTGATGTTTTTACAGCGTTGGGCGCTGCCTTTTCACAGTATTTCAACTTGAGAAACCTGTGACGGTGTGTGATCACTGCATGGTTGACTAGAATTTGGGGCGATCCTTTCATAGCTGTTGAACTCTCGTTGAAATCGCACGATCTGATTGGCCGAGGGGACAAATGTGGCCAAACAATCCACGCTTCCCATTGGAGAAACGAAAATAGTGTAAGACGCTCCGGATCTTTGGCGCGGATTGCGGCTCTTCGTGCTGCGGCGCGATGAGCTCGACCTCGCGTGTGTGATTCAACTCCCGCCCGCCCCGTATAACGATGGGAGCATAGCATGTTTACTGCTGCATTAGACTTATAGGCATGAGATCTTGTGGTAAGCGCCTTGTAGCATCACGGACACTTGATCGTGTTGGTGTCCAACATACAAGTACGCGGAGCACGATAGACACATGATCATGTTGGTGTTTAGAGCACGCTGAGCAAAATGACATCAGGCAAACGACAGCAAAAGTGACGTCGATCTACCTATCGGCAAGCAGAAAGTCGATGGGTGCCACATCACCAGTAGGCATCGATGGGAAAGGAAATGCATTACGCGGTCGGGTTTACTAGATCGTAGCCGCAGCTGAAGTTTGATCTTATTCCAGGGTGTGCTCATCACTGCCGGGCACATGTTGTCGAGAGACTTTCTCAGCGGCGGCGGCGTGAAGCTGGTGGCATCTTCGAGGTCCGCCTCGGCGTCTCCGCCTCCAGCATCGTCGTTCGCATCGCGGGTGGCCTCGGTGGCTGGCCTCGCCACGTGGAGCTTTCGCACTGGGCGATCGAGGCGACGGCGATAGCGCGGCACGTACTCGCAGTGCATTTCGTGTCTCCGACTAAAGGCGCAGTCGAGGTAGGCCGGGGCTGCATTTGGCGACATAAGCCAAGTCTTCTGATCCGACCGATTCGCTCAGGTCCGGCCGATTCGCTCAGGTTGGAGCCTTGCGCGTCAGCGCGTCCTGCGGCGCCTCCATGATCTTGCTTGTGGCTCCCACGGTGTCTCCACAAAATTACAAATCGCGTCCAATGAATACACAGTAGAGTAAATCGCGACCAGTCATATCCGAACATATCAAATATATATCACTTATCGCAACCTGGATTGGCCAAATGGGGTCTGGAGGGGTAGGTTTGGGAGGGATTTGGAGTTGGCCGGGTTGCAATTGTTTGGTACATACAAATTCCAAGTATAATGTTTGGACAACACCTTTGTCGTATGGGCCTCCACGCAAGCGTAGCGCTGATGGGTACCACTCCCAACGTCCGACGAATGCCTTCTCTTCCAGTGGCTGCCCCTGCTTCCTTTCTTCTCTTTTCTCTCGTGCCGTGTCCAAACAATTGGAGAATGCCACACTTATGGTACATTCGCCGAATTTGGCCAATCCAAACGCCTAGCCCGCAACAAGTAGCCAATCACATCCGATATTGAGCTTTGCACCCCACCCTGAAATGCAAAGTGATTCCAGAAGAAATAGAAAGGTCCGTTGCCAGCACTTCAACCTTCGGCGGAGATCCATCAGTTCGGAAACGCCCTCCGCAGACTCGCACAGTTCGGTACCGGCGCGCATGGTGCCGACAGACTTGACCACATCTCCGGTGCCGTGTGCCACCAAGCACACACGAGGCGACGCTGCCAAGCGCAAGATGAGTACCCGCCTCCGCCAGCTGCGCTACGTCGCGCAAAAGCGAGAGAATCTGGAGCGCCTCGAGGGCTCTGTCCAGCAGCTGCAATGCCAGATTGCGCGATGCGAAGGCCAGCTCGAGGTCCTGCGCGCCGTCAATGCGCCCCACGACAGCGCGCTCCGCACGGCAATCGAGTTCTTCTCGTCGTTTCGGCACGGCTACCAAGTGCACCGACCGCACCTGCAAGCGAGCCAAGACGCCTTCCTAAACAGCGTCATGCGCCATGACTTGCTC